CTGAGGTGGCTTGAGGTAATTGCCGAGGGAGGAGGAGGGGGGGCGCCTCCTTTAGGGGCGGGGAGAAAGGAAGCGTGGCGAAGGGGCAGAGGGATGGCAGGCAGCCCCAGCGCCGGGTGACAGGCAGCCGGCGGGCGCCGTCAGAAAGGGCCCAGGATGTCCTCCTCGCCAAGCCCGCAGCCCTCGGCGGCCACCTCGGATCGCCTCCTGCCCGCGGCCGGCGGCGGCGGCGAGCGCCTCTTCTTGCCTGAGGGCGGAATGAGCGAGGAGGAGAGGCTGGGTCTCCCTTCCGCGGAGGCGGTGGGATCAGAGCGGGAAAAGGGGGCGGCGGAGGCGGCGGCGGCGGATGCAGAGGAGGAGAAGGAGGAAGAAGAGGAGGAGGAGGAGGTGCGGCAGAAAAAGGAGGAGGAAGAGGGGAAAGAGGAGGCGGAGGAGGGAGAGACTCTGAAGGCAAAAGGAGGAGGAAAGGAAGTGGAGGAAGAGACCGAAAAATTGCCTCCCCAGCTGACGGACCCGAGCACAGCTTCTAGGGTATGTACCAGCGCCTGCTGCTTGAACTGAAAGCTTCGTGGATGCTTTGTTAAGTCCATATGAGGACACGGGATGGACGGTTTGCCCTTTTTTAAAAAAAAATCTGTTAAAAAGAAGCTACGACTCTGAGTCTCCCTCCCCTCCCCCGTGGCAACAACTGCACTATAAAATTACAGTGGTGACTTACTAAAGTACTTAACATTTCCTAAATGCTCTACGTCCAATGCAAGATAGTATTCCATCAAGATAGGACTCAAAAGGATAAAAGAAGAGGGAGGGGAGAAGAACATAAGTACTGTAGGAGAGCAGGGCTTAGCCAATGGATGGGACCAGGTTGGTTTCCCTGTTGCCATGATGTTCTTTCTAGAAAGCAAAGGGATACTGCCTGAGAGTGACCTTTAGACTCAAGAGGGACCTTTGGGCTCATGGGCAATGGATGGACAAGTCTAGAATGGTCTGCTTCTTTAACTTTCCTTCCCTGGCTGATGGATGGAGCCTGGTCCATCTGCACCTTACAGTAATATTCATGTGTGTGCTTTTTCTTGTTGTTTTGCATGTTATATATACCGTACATGAAGTGGCTTCCACTGAAATAATAGCTCCCATGATGTATCGCCTAGAGATAACATATATACAGTATTTATTGGAACTAAGGAAGGCCACACACACATACAAAGCCATGTTCCTGAAACAACAAAAACTAGCAGATGGTACTGGTTACTTATGCCTGGTCTTCCAAACTGTTTTCTTCTTTAGACTTGAATCCTAAAAGGATATAAGTTTTTACTTTAAAAAAAACAACACCTTTTTGTTTTAAGTTATATTGCTGTTAGAAAAACAAAATAATAGCAACTGTTATATGAGAGCACTCATACCTGTATATAAAATATATAATCTAACACTCAGTTCAGTTCTTAAGCTTTAGAAATAAATGTCAGGAAGAATTTTATTGAGATTTTTGGAAAAAGTGGGTTTCCAAGTGATGTAACCAGGTAGTTTTAGACACTGACTCATTTCCGTTCCTAACCACACAGTATTTCCCACTTCCAAAGATAAACATATGTGGCATAACTTGATCCTATGTTTATTTATTCAGAAACATATCCAACTGTGTTCAGCATTGTTATTCCAAAGCAAATGTTGCTGTAACGACATGTAATTATATTATATGATTAATTCAGAAATCAGTTCATCATAGTCTGCATTGATCCCTCATAAATAAATCAATTTCCTTCTCAGCTTTCTTTTTTAACAGAAGAGAGCAAAGGGCTATGCAAAACAGGGGGGCATTGTCTCTTGGAAATACTGCTGAGCGTTTGTGTTACTGAGCTGTCTGATTGTGTGCTTTTCTGCTGGAGGAGATGTTCTTAACATTAAAAAACAACAACACAAAACAGCAGGTGATGTCTTCAGAGTCTTTCTTCTTGACATCCTGATTTTGAAGGTAGATGTTGTTTGGTTTTGTTTTAAGATTGTAAAGCACTGAGACATATCTTTCCCCATGCCACAAAATGAAATGGAGTCAAGAAAAGCTTCGACACTTCATTCAGCTAAATCCTGAGTGATTACAATTTAAATTTGTCATTGGGGACAGCATAATTGTTACAGAACTCAAGGTGCTATAGTCTGTCCATTGTCCAATGTTTGAAAAAAGATGTCCACAGACGGAATGGGATGCACAGAAGAGTACGCTGAAAGAGCATCAGTGTGTATGTATCTAAATAGCCCTTCCTTTGTGCAACAGACAATTATTTTTCATACCTCCCAGTTGTTTCAAATCAGCAGAAATATCATTAAGATTATCATCTGATAATCCTGGGTGAATTATTGCCCTGAAAAAATGTTTATATTTGTGCAGTAGAAACCCAGATAGCTAGTTGTGCTGTTTTTGGAATGCCAAACAAGCACACTGAAACTTTTGGAAAATCTAATGTACTGTTTTGCTCCTTTAAGGAGTGTTTAAAATGCTGATTAGTTCTGACAGATTATTTCTCATAGCTGAAGTTTCAGGACAGCATAAAGACGGTTTCAGGATATGTGATTTAGTTCTCAGTAAATAAGCATACCCTGTTTCCCTGAAAACAAGACCTAACCTGAAAATAAGCCATAGTATGATTTTCCAGAATGCTAGTAAATAAGCCCCAGTTAAGTGAAACCCTGCCCTCCACCATTGTGCAGCATTGAGCAGCAATCAGGAGATGACATGACTGTAAAATAAAACATTCCCTGAAAATAAGCCCTAATGTGTTTTTTGGAGCAAAAAGACCCTGTCTTATTTTTGGGGAAACACAGTATATTTCTGAGTAAATGGGGTAAAAGCAAATTGGAGGGAAAGAGAAGTACTGTAACATGTTGGCAACCCTTCCTCTTCAAATGAATTATATACTAGCCTTCTTATATAATTCATTTGGAGAGGAAGCAATAAGGGAACAGTCCATTTTTAATACATCAGTGAGGCAGACTGCCTAGAGTTTTCTCAGCAGAACCTCTGCTTTGAGCTGAGGCTTCAATTTTAAAGTACATTTTTCTTGCTTCCAAACCATAGTTCAGTGATGATTTTGCTGAGAGAATAGCACCCTCTGCCTGCTGTAGGATCAGCTGGAGAATGAATGGGAATCCAGAATGCTTTGTTTGAAGAACAGCATTTCTCACAAGACCTGTCACTTATGTTCTAGGCATTAATGGTGCATTTAATGGCTTGGGAAAGGTCATAAAACCATTGTTAGAGAAGGAAGGATTTTGCAGAACACAGTCAGTGTAAATGTACTGTGAATGAAAACCAGGGGAGTAGGAAATCATCATCTTTAGAACTGCAGAGCAGGAAGAGACCCTATGGGGAAGAGATCCTGTCAAGGAGGCAGAGTGGGGAATCAAACTCCCAACTTCTGGCTCTGCAGTCAGATATCTGACCACTGAGCTATCCAGCAATCCAATAATCAAGGGGAGCATTCATTCCCACTTTGAGATTCTTGAGGTGATTTTTATTTTGAACTAGTACTTATTTCAACAAGTCATCAATGTTTAAATTATTTATTTGTATTTAGAATGTGTTAATACATAGTGTATAACTTTCTTCATCATTTAATAGTAACTTTCCAGCCACAGCCTTTCTCTCAGTTTAATAACTCAGGTGACTGAATATTTTTGCAGAATGATTGTTTTTCAAAGTTAACAGATAATGACAAGCTAATTCCTACTCAGCTTTCTGGTTATCCATAGATTCCAATTAAATAAAAGAATGTATAACTGTGGAACATCCCTTATCACTTTCTAGCCTACGCCATTGTTCTTAAGCCCAGCCACAGCCTTTCTCTCAGTTTAATAACTCAGGTGACTGAATATTTTTGCAGAATGATTGTTTTTCAAAGTTAACAGATAATGACAAGCTAATTCCTACTCAGCTTTCTGGTTATCCATAGATTCCAATTAAATAAAAGAATGTATAACTGTGGAACATCCCTTATCACTTTCTAGCCTACGCCATTGTTCTTAAGCCAGTGGTTCCCAGCTCCAGGGGGAGAAGTGGTGGAGCCGTGCCCTTAGGGCCTGGGCAAGGGTTAGGGTTGCCAGACGTCAGGCGAAATGAGGACATGTCCTCCTTTTTAGCCTAATGTCCTCTGTCAGGCAGGCAAAGATAAAAACCTTTTAAATGTCAGGCTTTCATATATTTTATAATTTTGGATGGGAGGGGGAAAGGTGGAAGGAACCACCCTCCCCCTGTATTTCATCGACCCCCCCACCTGCCTTTACCTGCTGCTGGTGCTGGAGCGCAGCCCTTGCCATGCCTGCCCAGCCCACGTCACGTAGAGCCCAGAAAGGCAGTGCAAGCGGAGCACCACCTGTCGAGCCAGGCAGGAGCAAGCAGTGCCCAAGCACGTTGATGGGAAAGCGGGTGCCCGGACTGCGTGTGTTCAAAGTCCCTTTCAGGGACTCCAACTCCCACATTCCCCAGCCTTGAACTTATGACTCTCAGGAGAGGGGAGGCTGCCTCATTCAGTTTTGCCTGGCATCGCTTTCCCCCTGCCTGCGCCGGAGCCTTGTTTTGGAATCCAGATTAGCAAGGTTGCCTATGAGCCTATGCAGAGAGCGAGCAGCTGAGGGATCCCGCAGCTGAGCCAGGGTGGGTTCAGGTACAATTGGCTGTTTAAATAATGTGGGGTGTTCTATGCAGAGAGCGAGCAGCTGAGGGATCCTGCAGCTGAGCCAGGGTGGGTTCAGGCTGTTTAAATAATGTGGGTTGTTGTTGTTGTTGTTTTGGTATTTTGAAAAAAAAGCCTCCATTGAATTTCTTTTTATTTTTTAACATGACTGTTTCTCCGTCGGTTCACTAGGAGACATTTATTGTCAGCTATTGTAGTAAAATTGTATTGGTTGAGGGTTTAATCCAGAACTATTCAAATGAAACATTCAGTATGTCCTCCCTTGTCCTCTTTTTTGTCTTTGTATGTCCTCCTTTTGGTAAATTCAAAAACCCATGTATCTGGCAACCCCAATTAAATAGCATGTGTTCCAGATATTATTGTACATTAACCTCATTATATTATATTACACCTGGAAAAATGAATTATGTGCCCCTTCATTAATTAATGATAGTTCTAACTTACAGCAACCTTTCTCAGGGTTTTCTAGGTATACTCAGAAGTGGGTTACAGCCCCTCCTTCTTATGGGTCTCTGAGGCTACTCAGCTTTCCTTAGACTGGCTCATCCACCCGAGGCACAGTAGAGAATTAAACTCCCAACCCGCATGCTCCATATCCACTGAACTATCCATCCAGCAACAGGTACCTCAAGCTAGAGAGAAAAATAAAACATTATTCACTTGGTCTATGAATTTACAGCATTCAGAACCTAAATTTAGGATGCAGAAAAAAGAAGGAAATATATAGCGAAATGCTGGGAACATTACTGCAGAAAGAGGGGTTGCCTTGCTGTTGTGTGCCACTTGTTTGTATTTAAAAGGCTGCATGAACATGTTCCCACACTTGGGTAGTACAGTGAG